GTGTTATTATATCTTATCATATTCGATGCTTCCTTTTTGACCTCAGTGGCAAGTCGAAGAATTCGAGCACACGTTACCATGTACAACCAAAAAAGGGAGGTAGAAAAGTACATTCAACATTTTTTTATCTCGTTCGACGCAATTATACATTTGATGATACTAACGGAGATGGTCAATTACTATCATATCTTGTTGTGCTCGATGTGTTTCTGTTTGACCTCAGTGGCAGGTCGAAGAAAAAATCCACCATGACTAAGGCCTCCAGGCTGGGTGGTCGCTTGTTTAGAACACCCCCTGGGGTGGGCAGGTTGGTCGCCTGTTTAGAACATTCGATTGGGTGGGCAAGTTCCTGAAGAAAAAAAATCCACCATGACTAAAGCCTCCGGGCTGGGTGGTCGCTTGTTTCGATAGGCCCCCTCGGGGTCGGCAAGTGCCTGAAGACAAATTCCACTATGACTAAGGCCTCCGGGCTGGGTGGTCACTTCTTTAGTACACCCCTTGGGATGGGCAGGCTGAACCCCTATTTCGAACATCCCTCGGATTGGGTGGGCAAGTGCGAAGACACGGATAGCTCGAGCAGACCTCGGAGGAAGGTCGATGATTTCTATTCGGTTCTGTTTAATCTGGTATTACTGTATATTTGTTCCTAACCCAGTGGCAGGTTGAGGGAAGCCAAAATCCACCATGACTAAGGCCTCCGGGCTGGGTGGTCGATCCTAGTGTTGGGTCGCGAAGACACGGATAGTTCGAGCAGACCTCGGAGGCAGGTCGATGATTTCTTCTTGGTTATATTTGGTTTGTTATCATTGTACATTTGTTCATAACCCAGTGGCAGGTTGAGGGAAGATAAAATCCACCATGACTAAGGCCTCCGGGCTGGGTGGTCGATCCTAGTGTTGGGTCGTCAAGACATGGAGCCTATTGAAGACCTCAGTGGCAGGTCGATCAAACTCGCTACGAATAGATCGAGCAGGTTAACGGATTTATTTGATTTGGTTTTGTGCTATTTGTGCCTCTGACATCAGTGGCAGGTCGATCGAACTCGCTACGGATAGCTCGAGCAAACCTCAGTGGCAGGTTGATGATTTCTACTTGGTTCTGTTTGATCTAGTATTATTGCATATCTGTCCTTAACCTCAGTGGCTGGTCGAGATGGAGCTCATTACAGATAGGTCGAGCAGGTTAATGGTTTTATTCGATTTGGTTTCGTGGTATTTGACGTTCTCGATCTCAGTGGCAGGTGGACGATTTTATTTGACTCTGGTTTCGTCAAATTGATTTTTCGACTTAAAGGGGAGGTAGTGTATTTATTTTTGCTCGAGCAGCTTGTGGATGATTCTGGTTTTATCGAAATCATTTTTCGACCCCAATGGTGGGTCAAGTATATTCATTTTTGCTCGAGCATGTTGTTTGTTGATCATGGTTTGTCGAATTGATTTTTCGACTCCAGTGGCGGGTCAAGTATATTCATTATGGCTTGAGCAGGTTGATTGCGCTTTATTTGATTATGCTTCCGTTGAATTGATT